GTCAAGTTATTCAGCCTAACCAACTGAATATTCAGTGCAAAAATAAAAAAAAACAGAGTTTGGCGTAATTTACATTAAATTTATCCCGAGTCATCGCATTTTGATGTCTCCCCATTGTATGGGGATATTTTCTCGAAAATCTCGCTCATCTCGGGCAATTACACGTTTAATGTGGTGGCGAATGATCGAGAGGGACAAGTTAGTCATCATTTAGAAATTAGGAAGTACAGTGTTAGTACTTTTTTCGAATTACAAAGCCAATTACACAGCTTGAGTAGGGTCGTAAAAGAAACTAAAAGAAAAAAATTAAATGTACATAAACTACATAAACTACACAAATTGCATTGGTTCACTTTGTCGCACGTCATCGAATTTTGCTTCGGTTCGGTTCGGTTGAACCGAAAAGATTAGTTTTTCGGTTCGGCTCGGTTAACCGAAACCGAAACCGAACCCAAAAAATAACGTTTCCGGTAGGTCTTGTTGCTGACATATGCAATCGAATATCTCGAATCCGAGTCGTGAAATGCGAAAAAGGCTTATTAAAAATAAATGTTCGACCAGTTTCTTCACCTTTGGCAATCATCAATGTGTTACTATCACCTCAGAAAGCTTCAATCTTGTAATTTTACCATCATGGTTTCAGATTTTTAGGCAAGATTTTCGTAGGAGCAAGACAAAACAAATGTAAACTTTTCTCTTTGAGAATTTCTTGATAAGGTAATTTTATGGCGAAATCTTATCTTCGACGATCGAAAAGCCAAAAACAATCAGTTAGCAGAGATACCCTCAGAGATTTCCCAACATTTCTCCAAAAGCATTTTCTGGCAAAACAAAAACAAACAAAAACAATTTATTTTGTAACAATATTTTTCTCGATCTTAAACCCTCGATTCCCCATGGATTCATTTCGATCTGGAAAATGGGTTTTGAACAATGCGAATTGCCGCCCCAATCACCGTGAGTTTAATCAGTTTAACTTTTTCACTTTTTCTTAAATTCTAGATCAAAAACCCTGACTCCAAAGCCGTATAACATCAAAAGTCTTTTGTTTGGTATATTTATTGGAATTTTTCTCGGAATTATTGGCAACTTACTTGTTGAAAAGCGGTGAGTAATTTTTGGGAAGGTTTCAATCTGAATTTTGAATTTGAACCAGAGAATAGTCTTATTAAAATCTTATTATAAAAGTCCAAGAAAAATGTAAAATGTTCATAAAGAACATGACAATGAGCTCTTTGGAGAATGAGAATAAAATAAATGGTAGTTGGAAAGTCCATTAGAGATTTTTAAAAATCATTCGTCAAATCAATTTTTCTTTTGTTTAGAAGTGATTGTGAAGTTTTCAAACAAAATCTGACCATCTGTGCGGCCAATAACAAGGTGTTAAAGGAGGAGAAGTGGGTGGAGAAGAAAAAGAAAATGAAAATCGAATTTAGACTCACAGTCGATGCTGAGCACAAAAAAGCACAGACACTTATTCAGAGATTGGAAACAGAAAAGTGAGAAGTTCAATTGAGAATTTGGTCACAGTTTAGTTATTTCTCATCCAAATGCAACTTTTTTATTTATTTGTAAACTTTAGAGGTACAACAGAAGCTCAACTTGTCGAAACCAAGAAAAAAGTTGTGCTCTTGGAGTCGGAAAAGTGAGGAATTAAACTTGAAATGTTCAGGAAGTAAAATTTCCAGAAACTCCGACAAAAAGTCCTCGGCTTGTCCAGTTCCTCCATCATTTGAAGGGAAATGCCGTCTTGGGTGGACGTATTTAGAGGCAACTGACTCCTGTTACTTTTATCATGTAAGCAACAAAAATTACAGTTATATTATTGTATTTTTTGAGGAAATCACTTACAATGACGAGGGAGGGAGTTGAACACGTATAAGTGGGAAACAGCCGAGGAGGACTGTACAAGAAGCGGTGCCCACTTGGCGTCGATCCATTCAAATGTTGAGCGGAAATTTATGAGAAGTAAAGATTTACTATGGCATCCAGCCGAATTCAAAAAATTGAGAAAAAACCATTTTAACATTTCCACTTACAATGATGAGGGACAGTTGAACAAGTATAAGTGGGAAACAGCCGAGAAAGACTGCACAAGAAGCGGTGCCCACTTGGCGTCCATCCATTCAAATGTTGAGCAGGAATTTATGAAAAGTAAAGCTTTACTATGGCATCCAGCCGAATTGAATTCAAGAAATTGAGAAAAAGCCATCTTGACATCGGAAGTAAAGTCGATTTTGACAATTGCTTTTTTGGGGAAAGTGCATGAAACTAACAAGAGAAAGGTATCAACTTTCATCAACTTTTGAGAATGGACAATTGGACAATTGGACAGGGTTTAGGGGAAGCAAGGGGACAAAGGTTGGCGTTTGGAGAAAGAGGGGAGACAGGCTTAACTGAAGAAAAGATTATTCGAAGAGCGCGTAGGATTTGTTTGTTGGGTGCTTGTTATACCATCTGATTTGGACTTCAATCGAAAATAATTTTAGAAATGATCAGCTCGAGTTTCCGAAAAATAACCCACAAGCGACTCCAGCAGATGGATGCGCCGGCACCAATTTCTACGTTTGGTTCGGATTGCGGCGTGTGGATGGGAAGAGGACGTACAGTGATGGAACTCCGGATGATTTCGTTGGGACAAGTAGGGACGTCGGAAATCGCTATTATTCGGTTCGTTTCTTCCTTACAAATGTTCTTGCAAGGCTGTTCCAAAGAGCTTTGGTCCCGAGTTTTAAGTTTATTCCCGATTTCGGCAGAAATCTGACTTTTGCTTGGTTTGCTCTGGAGAATCGGCTCCGCAAGGAACAGCCCCGCAAATAACATCTTTTTTGTTTATTCGGAAAAATTATCGACACACAGGATCTCATTTTACCATATTGACCGCAAGGTTACACTTTGAGGATCGGGATCTAGAGAACCATAATTCATTTTTCTTAAAATGAACTTTAGGGGAGATAATTTCCATGACAGGGTTATATATTTTATGTCTTTTCTTTGGAACTTATTTCTTTAGATGTGCTATGAGTCGACAAACATCAACCGAAAAGCCATTTTCTACCATGCAACAGAAGAAGTGGCGCGACGAGGGAATGCACGATATATCTGCCAGAAACCCGCGAACAAATAAACTGTTTAATTGTGGAAGCACAATATGTTTTTTTGATGATTTGGACACCGGATGATTTTGTTGGGAATAGTGGAAAAGAAAGAAATCTTTATTTTTCGGTTCGTTTCCTCTTTACGAGTGTCACAAAAGCCAAAAACCAAAAACCAAAAAGCCAAGCTAGAGTCAATGGCTTTGACCTAGAATTTCAACATTCAACATTTTTGTTGAAAACCTTGAGTTTGGCTGGGCTTGGCTTGAAGAATCAGCTCCAGTAACAGCCCTGCAAAAAAAAATTTTTCTGGTTTATTTGATCTTTTTAACAAATTTTCTTTATAAGCACACACGCTGTTTCATTTTGGACGAAGTGATGGCATAGGTGATCTGTCGACAAGAGAGCAAAACAGTTTAGTTTAGAGAATGTTCAAAGTCTAGTTGACACAAAATTTGCATATTTTTAAGATATAAATGAGCGATTTCTTTCCTTTAGATGTGCTATACAGTAGAGTCGAAAAGTTTTGAACAATCACCTTCCGGCAACTTCAACTCGATGTAACTAGCGTTAAATACATCCAATTTTTTTTACTTTAAAAACTATTTTTGGTCGCATTTTTTGTGAACTTTCTGAATATCTACTTGATTTTATTTGATATTTGATCTTTTTTTGTCTTGCACTTTTTTTGGAACACCCTTTTTTAGGGGTCCAAAGGTTTGGTACAATTCCAAAAATAACAATACATTTTTAATTTTATGATGCCAAATCGTTCGAATTTGACCGAGTATGATAAAGAACTAATTGTGGCTGAAGTAAATCGAGGAAAGAGCCGTCAAGAAGTTGCCACAACATTCGGTGTCACCCATTCAACAGTAACCAAGATTTATAACAAATGTAAGTTTTCCGGAAATGTGAAACGAGCATCAACAAAGGGGAGACGAGCTAAACTGGATGAACGTGATGAGAGGACACTTGTGCGACCATTTAAGAAGAATCCTCAATTCAGCTGATCTACGTCGCGATGCCGAGTCAAGCTATGGAGTTTCGCTTTCCAAAGCGACAGCTAAGCGTATCTTAAAGTAATTTGCTGGTTTAGAAAGCAATAAAATGTTGCTATTTAGGAGACAAGAACTCAAAGGAATTTGTCCATCTCGAAAGCCGTTGATTTCTGACAAGAACGTAAAGGCTCGGCTCGAGTTTGCCAAGAAGTACAAAGACTGGTCGGCTGATGATTGGAGTGATGTATTGTGGAGTGACGAAAGCAAATATGAGCCCTTTTTCACCAATGAAATTCGATACATTAGACGTCCAATTAATCAAAGAAACAATCCAAAGTATCAAATTCCAACAGTCAAACACGGCGATGGATCAGTTCTCGTTTGGAGTTGGTTACCTCTATTATCAACTGCGCTTATTTGAATTTAGGTTGTTTTTCACGATACGGTGTCGGTCCACTTGTCAGAATCAATGGTATTATGGGTGCAGCTGCTTATGAAAACATCCTGAAAACCATCTTGAAAATTTTCCGATCCCACATCGATAGGTTCTTCCCTACATCGATGAGCGGTTTTCGAGATTTCGAGTAATTTAGGCAACGCACAGGGTGCACTACTATTAGAGAAAATACGGTATTTTAAACGCTAGAGAAACAGTATTATTCTAAATTCTATTATTCTAAATTCTATTATTCTAAATTCTATTATTCTAAATTCTATTATTCTAAATTCTATTATTCTAAAACAGTATTATTCTAAATTCCAACAAGCTTGTATTCTCACAAATTTTTAGTTGTTGAAATGTAAGAAGTTCGTGGCGGATAGAACAAGATCTTTAGGTAGAACAACGGTTTTTTTTGAGCCGGCTCAATTACCCAACTTGCCTGGGTCCTATTTATTCAGGAGAATGTTCCAAGAAAAATCAGGCTTTAAAGTGTCGCCTGAATTCACAAAAAGGTTATTTGAACATTCAAGAGCCCTTAATAAGGGCCATTTGTTCGGATTGTTTTCCCGGGTTTCATTTCAAATATGAAGCCAAGTACACAGCTTGAGTAGGGTCGTAAAAGAAATTAAAAGAAAAAATTAAATGTACAGGTACATAAACTTTAAATCTTTAGATCTAGAAGGCCAAAAATTAGTCAAATTCCACGGTTTCTGTTTAGGAAAACAAACGTTGAATCTTGTTGACAAATGAAGAAATCGATTCCATAAAAGATTCCATAAACAACTTTATTCAAATTCTCGGCTCCGCTCAATCAACTGAAAGGGATCTGATTATCTGGAAATTGAATTTGAAGCTAATTTTTATTCAATTTACCCCAACCTGAACTGCTGTAACGATTTGAGACAAGTTAAGTCGTAAATTTCGATCAATATCAACCGGTCCTTTCTTCATTAACTTGACCACCCGTATAGTACAAATACGGAAATGATTGACACAAAAACCGAAACAAGGCTGTTCCTAAAGCCAAATCTTCATGCCTGCCCGGGGCCAGACCTGAGTTAAATAAGTGACAAGAAAATTACCTGCAGAATGGCTTACAATCGAAAAACTAAACAACAACAACAATAACGATAACAACAACTATACTAAAATAAAGTACTTTACATTATTTGCCTAATCTCTAATAGATTTGAATCGTATGTACTTAATTTTCAATTTCCTAGTGTTTTTATGGGTCGGCTTGTACTCTCTTTTCCGGAGTCTCCAATGGTAATGAATTTTCAAGAGTACAATTAATGCTTTTACAACTAAAAGACATAATTCTCAAAGAGAAGAGAGTTTCCATTTGTTTTGTCTTGCTCTTACTAAAATCTTGCTTAAAAATCTAAAACTTTCAAGACTGACTTAAAATAAGTGACAAAATTACCCATAACAAAACGACTTTGGAACAATAGAAATGCTCCCCGAAGAGATTCAATGAAAATCAACTAGAAAAAAGCCAAAGATATCAATAGTTTTCATAGCATCAAGAGCTTAGAAAATTTTTGTAGGCGGCTCAAGCCAGGCTATACTCAGGGTAAGTCTTGTTACTGACATATGCAATTGAATATCTCGAATCCGAATCGTGAAATGCGAAAAAGGTTTATATAAAAATAAATGTTCGATCAGTTTCTCCATCTTTGGCAATCATCAATGTGTTACTATCACCTCAGAAAGCTTCAATCTTGTAATATTACCATCATGATTTTAGATTTTTAGGCAAGATTTTAGTAAGAGCAAGACAAAACAAATGTAAACTCTTCTTTTTGAGAATTTTTTGATAAGGTAATTTTCATAGGATTTTATGGCAAATCTGATCTTCGATCGAAAAGCCAAAGACAATCAATCAGTTAGCCGAGATACCCTCCGAGGTTTTTTTTCTTTTCGGCAACAATCTCCCCCAGCATTTCTCCCAAAGCATTCTCTGGTAAAACAAAAACAAACAAAAGCAATTCGTTTTGTAACAATATTTTTTCGATCTTAAAGCCTCGATTTCCCATGGATTCATTTCGATCTTGAAAATGGGTTTTGAACAATTCGAATTGCCGGCCCAATCACCGTAAGTTGAATCAGTTTCACTTTTTCACTTTTTCGTAAATTCTAGATCAAAAACCCACACTCGAAAAACGTATAACACCAAAAGTCTTTTGTTTGGTATATTTATTGGAATTTTTCTCGGAATTATTGGTACCTTACTTGTTGAAAAGAGGTGAGTCATTTTTGGGAAGGTTTCGATTTAAAAATTTAATTTGAACCAGGGAATAGTCTTATTAAAGTCTTATAATTTCGAGTAAGATTTCGATTTGAATTTTGAATTTGAATCAGAGAACTAGTCTTATTAAAGTCTGATTAAAAAGTCCAAGAAAATTGAAGATTTGATCAAACTTAGCCGAATTTCCATCAAATCACTTGTGAAAGCCAAAATTCCAGCTTCAACTCGACCCCATTTCACAGTCCATTGTCACGAAAGGCTCGAAATTTGTAAGTTTTTGTTAGAGTTTCTTAAAAAATCCAAAATTGAGGGCTGCTTCACAAGATGATGAAAAACAAGCAGTTGACCTGTTGAAGATTTGCCGGGCTAATGAGTGGGTGAAGATTTTGAACAATGAAATCAAAAATCAACTTTTCAGGGAGAGGTTGACGCTTCTCATCGACAGCAAGTCGGTTTTTGAAAATTTTTTTTTCCTTTATTTTCCTTTCAGTCCCTTTCTTACATATGTAAAATGTCCATAAAGCCATGACAATGAGCTCTTTTGAGATTAAAAAAATGATAGTTGGAAAGTCCATTAGAGATTAAAAAAAGTGATTCATCAAATCAGTTTTTCTTTTGTTTAGAAGTGATTGTGAAGTCTTCAAACAAAATCTGACCATCTGTGTGGCCAATAACAAGGCGCTAAAGGAGGAGAAGTGGGTGGAGAAGAAAAAGAAAATGAAAATCGAATTTAGACTCACAGTCGATGCTGAGCACAAAAAAGCAATAACACTTATTGGGAGATTGGAAACAGAAAAGTGAGAAGTTCAATTGAGAATTTGGTCACAGTTTAGTTATTTCTCATCCAAATGTAAATTTTTTATTTATTTGTAAACTTTAGAAGTACAACAGAAGATCAACTTGTTAAAACAAAGAAAAAAGTTGTGCTCCTGGAGTCGGAAAAGTGAGGAATTAAACTTGTTCTTAAAAATTTTTTTAATTAGATAAGACTAATAAAATTTTCTTTCAACGTTCATGAAGTAAAATTTCCAGAAACTCCAACAAAAAGCCCTCCCCTTGTGCAGTCCGTCAATCATTCAAAGGGAAATGCTGTCTTGGGTGGACGTATTTAAAAGAAACTGACTCCTGCTACTTTTATTATGTAAGCAACAAAAATTACAGTCATATTATTGTATTTTTTGAGGAATTCACTTACAATGACGAGGGAGAGTTGAACAAGTATAAGTGGGAAACAGCCGAGGAGGACTGTACAAGAAGCGATGCCCACTTGGCGTCGATCCATTCAAAAGTTGAGCTGGAATTTATGAAAAGTAAAGATTTACTATGGCATCCAGCCAAATTCAAGAAATTGAGAAAAAGCCATTTTGACATTAGAAGTAAAGTCGATTTTGACTATTGCTTTTTTTGGGAGAGTGCATAAAACTATTAAGAGAAAGGTATAAACTTTCCAACAACTTTTGAGAATGGAGAATCTGACGCGGACCTCAAAAGTGTATAGAATAGAAGTTTTTCAAGAGAGCAAAGAAAGAGAAATGATGTACAGGGCAAGGGAACAAAGGTTGGTGTTTGGAGGGAGCGGGGAGACAGGCGATTAACTGAAGGGAAGGAGATTCGAAGAGCCCGTAGGATTTGTTTGTTGGGTGCCCTGTTAGACCATCTGATTTAGACTTCAATCGAAAATAATTTTAGAAATGATCAGCTCGAGTTTCCGAAAAAATAACCCAGAAGCGACTCCAGAAAATGGATGCAACGACACCGATTTCTACGTTTGGTTCGGATTGCGGCTTGTGGATGGGAAGAGGACATACAGTGATGGAACTCCGGATGATTTCTTTAAGCCAAATAGGGACACCGAAAATCGCTATTATTCGGTTCGTTTCTTCCTTACAAATGTTTTTGCAGGGCTGTTCCAAAAAGCTTTGGTCTCGAATTTTAAGTCTATCCCCGATTTTCGCCTGAAATCTGACTTTTGTTTGATTTGCTCTGGAGAATCGGTTCTAGGAATAGCCCCGCCCCTTGATTTGGAAAAAATATCGACACACAGGGTCTCATTCATTTTACCGTATTGACCGTAAGGTTACACTTTGAGGATCGGGATCTAGAGGATCATTTTTCTTAAAATGAACTTTAGGGGAGATAATTTCCATGGCAGGTTAGATATTTTGTGTCTTTTCTTTAGAACTTATTTCTTTAGATGTGCTATGAGTCGACAAATATCAACCAGAAAATCATTTTCTACCATGCAACAGAAGAAGTGGCACGACAGGGGAATGCACGATATATCTGCCAGAAACCAGCAAACAAATAAACTATTTAATTGTGGAAGCACAATACGTTTTTTGATGATTTGGATGATTTTGTTGGGAATAGTGAAAAAGAAAGAAATCTTTATTTTTCGGTTCGTTTCCTCTTTGAAAATGTCACAAAGCCAAAAATCAAAAACCAAAAAGCCAAGCTAAAGTCAATGGCCCTGGCCTCGAATTTCCACATTCAACATTTTTGTCGAAAACCTTGGGTTTGGCTTGGCTTGGCTTGGAGAATCAGCTCCAGGAACAGCCCTGCAAATGATTTTTTTTTTTTCTGGTTTATTTGATCTTGTTAACAAATTTTCTTTATTTTCTTATATGTTCTTTTTATTTTCTTTATACATGTATTATATCGTGTTGCTTTTTATCGGCCCTTTTCGTGTTATATGTATGAATTGATGCGTTTTAATCTGAAATTTAGCCCACTTTATTTTGTTCTAGCTTCTAGATTTTGTTCTAGCATTTTGTTGTGTTGCACCTTCGGGAAGTTGTTAACTAATTTTTTTCTTGTTAAGCCTGTTTGCTTATTACATGTTTGCAATAAATTGTTGAAAAGTGAATAAAACTTGCAATTAATAAAGCAAAAATATTAAGCAAAATTCACTTTCATTTAGATGACCTAATTTTTCGAATCTGGCAACAGAAGTTACCTCCCGAGGTGTTAAAATATTTGGTCCTATTAACCTAACTTTTTTATTTGCATGTGAGATAAATCTGCATTGTATTTCAAATGTTTCATTAAAAAAAACTTTCAATCACCATCGGCTAGCCGATGCATAAGTCTTTTCGTTCCTTTTCGTCTGCCGTTTCAAGCCAACAAATGCACCAATTAAACTACGGTTGATTTCATTAGAAAAACCAATTATTTTTCTGCAAAATAACATTAAAACGGGTTTAAAAATATTTAATGCCTGGATTTTCTTGAGAGTATGAAGTCGGGTAGTCAAAAAGGGCTAACTCGATGATGCGGTTTAGACACCTTAGCTAAAGAAAACCTATCTTCGTGTCAATAGATAAAAGATAGAGAAAAAAAAGTTTGATATTTCGCCAAAATTTCAGAGAAATTCATTGAGCCAATTTTTCCGTAGAGTTTTTTATAGATTTTTACGAAAAAGGCGTTTTTCACTCTCGAATTTGCTTGAAAGTCAACCGAAATTCATTTAAAAAGATGCAAATTGAACAAAAAACACTTTTTTTATAGAGCAAACTATAGATTAATTGGTGAATTTGTTACTTTTTAACAGAAGTACGAAAAAAACGAAAAGACTTATGCATCAACCTAATATATTGGGTTGTCCAGTTATGAATGCGCGTTTTTACTATTTTGTAAATTTCTCAAGATATCGAACAGATGTATATGAGTGTTATATATCATTCGAAAGCTGAATATCTCCTCTACATTCTGGAATAAAAATGTTTTTGAATTCATTCAACTTTTTGGGAAATTTACTGCACAAAGGGAGAGGTCGTTTTCGAAAAAAACTCATTTCAGCTTAGTTATTCCTCAAGTTTTATGGTGTAAAATAACCGCCCAGAAAAGAAAAGAAAAGTAAAGATGCTCTGAAATTGTTATATTTTTAAAAAAGTTGTGTTGATATATCTATTGGCCAAACATCAAACGGTTAACTCAATTTGAGCGGAGCCAAAACTTGATCCAAAGGCACCATTCCATTTTTTGGCCACCTCTTCTTCTGTGCAGTCAATTTGCCCAAAAGCTGAACAAATTCAAAAACTTTTTATATCAAAATGTAGAGGAGAGCTTCAGCTTTCGAATAATACTTATATAAATATCTTTTTTTGATTTCGGTATCTTGAGAAATTTACAAAATAGTAAAAAACGCGCATTCATAACTGGACAACTCAATATATATAAGCACACACTCTTTCATTTTGGACCAAGTGATAGCATATGTGATCTGTCGACAAGAGAACAAAATAGTTTAGTTTAGAGAATGTTCAAAGTCTAGTTAACACAAAATTTGCATATTTTTAAGATGTAAATGAGCGATTTCTTTCCTTTAAATCTGCTATGAGTCGACAAAGATCAACCAGACATCCATTTTCTACCATACAACAGAAAAAAAAATCGACAGATGGCAGGATATATCTGCCAGAAACCCGCGAAGAAATAAACTGTTAAATTGTGGACGCACAATATGTTTTTTACAATCTTCGCATTCATGGAATTGAATAAAATGTTAAATTTAACAGCTTTCTACTTATAAAAAAGTTTAGTTCTTTTCATATCCAAAAATTTGAATCCGATTAAAATCTATGAATAGAAAGAAAATTTTTCATCAATATGAGAGATTTTCGAGAAGGTGCCGATACTTTTTTTGACCACTGTAAAAGTGAAAATTCTATTTAAAACATCATTGTGTCATATTTTTTATTTACTAACTTATTCTGAGAGCCTACTCTACCCTTTTAATCTTTTTAACAAGCCAAAAGTAGCTTTTGTAGCCGTTTTTACTCAGCTCACCTAATCACCAAGTAGAAAAGAAAATACTGATTCATAAGGAAAAATTGGTCGCAAAGAATCTGTAGATTAAAGCCGAAAAGCAAATTGGAAACGAATTGATTGAGGTAAGTGAGAATCGACCAGCGATCACTGAGTTGGAGATCATCTGGTAAAGGTAAGAGTCAATGAATCAGCAATTTTTATCCGCAAAACAAGCGTTTTTTTTTTGCATTTGTGCCTAGTCTAGCAATAAGCTTCTTCATAAAGTAATCTAAAATCAATGTTTTGGTTCCTAGCTTCTTTTAGCTTCCAACTAACCAGTACGGTTGATTCAGACGGGTCAGACCAGGCTTCTGGCTAGCTCTGGCTTTGCCTGACCTGTTCTGCCCGAAAAATTGCCTTTTCCAAAAATTATCCTGTCCGGAAAATTCATAGAGTTTGCTTGTTTTGTGAAACTCGGGCTTCATTTATTATTCTCACAAAAATCCGGAAGCGTTTCTTTTCATTCCGATTAATTGTTGATCGTCCTCTTTGGCAAGAATTTGGCCACAAGAATCTAGCTGAAAAATATTTGAACTTATATTGATCAATTACATGATTTACCATATCAAAAAGCTCATAGTGCATTTCCCATTTTTGCTTTGTTTCATTCATGGTGATCATTGGAGAAAATCTGAAAGTGATCTGATAGTTGAAATTGGTTGGAAATTGGGTAAAATTTATGCAAACTTTTATTCTTCAATCTCTTTCTGAAAACGGTACGTCGGAACAATTGAAAACTTTAAAAAATATTTACCCTTGTAAGCTGTGTACCTTCATTTGGGCTACTGTGATGAAACAGAGCGGCATTACGGTAGTTTTAGGGATACCTGTATCCCCATTTGATCTCATCCGGTCGAAATGAGGTTCTTCGCTGAAAAGTCATGCCTGTTGACTCCACATTTCCCTCAACTGTCACAATAATTTCGAACTCCAAACTCTGAAATTAAATGCATTTTGTTAATCTCAATGAAACCAACCCCTAAAGTTTCTTTGGTGACTCCAAAAAGTGGGCTTTGTTCATCGATGATATGTCGAATGATCACTGGCCTAAAGTAGATAAAGCTATAGATCAACTTATCCAATGCAAACCACAAGAGCAACACTCGATCCCATCCATGATCGTAGCCGACATTCATATCCTTGATGCCGATCAATTCACGGTGTCCATGCTAAATTAAAACGGCTCTTACATCAGAATCAAAAAAGAAACTATGAGCTATGGAGGAATGGTAGGCTACGGTAAGCTTGCTAGCCTTTTAGAGTACTGTAAGTTACAATAGCTACACAAGAATTGCGGTAATTTTGTGATGTAAAGTTACATTATGTAAATGGCTTCTTATTTGAGAAATACTTTGTGAACACTTTCCAATATCTATGGATATTTGAGCGCATAAACCTTACTTTGTTAATCCTTGATGAAACAAAGTACATTTTGGCATGACTTTCCGCTAAGAAGAGCTTTTGTTGGATATCAGCTAAACGAATCATCAGCGCTGGGCGATGATCATTCTCGTCCACGTGCCCAATGACAGCAAACATTGAGAAACGAATATCCTGATCTATCAATTTTCATCGCAATTCTACCATTTAACCTGTCTTCTCTTCTTTGGTTTCAACATTTTCGCAAGAATCATGCCGGCGATGATTGTGTAGAGAAAACTACCAAATACCAATTGGAACATCCACAAAAAGTAAGCCGACGGGCATTCATTTGTGATGTATCTAGAGTTTATTGGTATGAAAAAAAGCTGATTTAAAAGTACACAAAACAGGCCAAGACAAGGGGTTCGATCATAAGCAGACACTGGCTTAGTCTTACCCGGTCTGTCTTGATCCACAAAAATCCCCTGAACTTGCCGGAAGCCAGACTTGGATCTGGGCTGGACTACCTTGATTTCGTTTACAAGTCTTACCTTAGAACGCGGCTATATCATGGTTACTAACTCGTCATCAAATCCCACCTGTAACCGTAACCAATTGTGTGCTGACTTTCCACACTGAACAGAAAAGCCTCGATGAATGAATTTACATTTGAGATGCACTGTTTTGGTCTCTGAAATTGATCATGACTTTAAAATGAAAGCTTTTTTAAACACTTACACCCCATTCGGAGATCAAAAAATAAAGAAAAGCAAAAATCGACCAAGAGACGAAGAAAGCCGTAAAGAAAATGAGTAAAATCGTTTTCCATTTTCGCTCGATTGCCAAGAGGAACCAATTTCTGAAAAACAAATTTTCACATTTTTAGAATGCAGATTACCTGAAGAAAATTTGCAATTTCTGTGGCAATTTTTGCGGACTGGGCATCACTTGGCCATCTTTTCCTACCAATCTCGCGACTGTTGTCCGACATTTTGGAAGTGAGGCAAGGGTTGAGGACGAGGCGGTAAAGCCACTGTCAAGACTCCAGCGATCCGGGGATTTGGAATCTAGAACACATAATAGTTTGATAAAATTGTCGTTTTCGTGGGTTTTCATGCGTACATGACTAAAATGAATCAATTAATCAGATCAATTTTATTTTCAAAGAGTTTAAAAATGTAAAGTTTCACGTTTACCGTTCAAATCATAGCCAGGTAATAGAAAAGTAGGCAGTTTTGATTGTTCCATACAAATTTTGATATAAATGACCCAAAACCACTCAAGAAGAGCTCTTTTATTACCGAAATTTGTGCGCTTTGAAGCTTTTACCGTAAAATCAACTGAGTTCAAGCAAATAGAGCGAATCGAATCAATTGTAATCAGAAATGAAAACATGACTCTTTGATGATTGGGCCATTGATCTCTGGGGAAACCCGCTTCTAATGATAGCTTGGTTTTCAAGTTTTAAATCTTGATTGTTTTGCTTGACACAGAGAAGATAGACACTTGCTTGTTTGGCATTGGCTTGCATGGCATTGGCTTGCTTGGCCTTGACTTGCTTGGCATTGACTTGCTTGGCATTGGCTTGCTTGGCCTTGACTTGCTTGGCATTGACTTGCTTGGCATTGGCTTGCTTGACCTTGACTTGTTTGGCCTTGGCTTGCTTGGCATTGGCTTGCTTGACCTCAGCTTGCTTCTGGTTTAACTTTGGTTTGGCTTGACTTGAACCCGGTTTGACTTTGGCTTGACTTGGCTTAGACCAGCTCGATTTCTGAAACAACCCTTATATCAATTGATAACCCAATCCTTAACTGGCACAGCATAACTTTGGACACTTACAAAGTGTAACATGGACCGATATTCGTTAGATATTCAGTGACCAAGTCTAGTACTTAGTCTAGTACAAGTCCAATACATCACAGTACACATAACCAAGTCTAAAATTCTACTTGGCGTCAGATAAAGCCAGGTTCATATCGGAAACTCTGCCCTCAAAATGGCCTCTTTTCTGCAAAATGGTCCTCTGTTAGTCAATTGAACTGATTACCGGCGGTTGTTTGAACTCTTGAGTATTTGTTTTTGACGTAACGAGACCTGTGTGATTCTTGCGATCACCCGTGTTCTTATCGAAGAGCCGAGTTTAAGCAAAGAAGAAGAAATTTGAGCGAACTACTGTTTGAAGGCTTGATTTGTTAAAGATTTGGGCGTTTTGAGTTTGCGCTTTAAAGGTTTTATGATCTTACTTTTTGAAAAATGAATCGGAAATGTGTGGACTTCAATTTCCAACAGTCATTACAAATTTACAATTGACCCTGATCCATCCCTGGGATTGAAAAGAGCGCTGAAGAGAGCAGGTAAAGTCGATTTCAAGAATAAACCCTGTGCTCATTATTCATTTTTCACCTCAAAAACTGGGATATACCAAGGACAAACAGAAAACTTTTCTAATTTTTGACAAGCGAAGGCTTTTTTTAATCTAATAAGTAATTTATAAATTGCGTGCCGGTCATTATTCTCGAAGAGAGATCGAGTAACAAAAAAAACGCTTGAGTTTTCTTCTCCATGACAACAGAAAAGAGAAATGCAGTGATTTGGGTATAAATAACTGATAATTGAAGGGGAATAATTTCAGAAAACTTCACAAGCAAAAAGTTTTCTAGCTTAAAGTTTTCAACTTTTTAATTTTGAATTGAGTAAATTCAGAATGGTTGCGATTAACCTGGGTGACTCGGCAAAGAAAGAAAAACCACCACAAGAACAGGTAAGGAGAAGAAGATTTGATATGGATATAGAGCTGTCAACTGGGGTACTGTATCCTTGCAAGCTTTTTCCGAACATCGACTCAGGTAGCTGGTCCAAAGCATGTTCTAACGACCGTAACCAAAGTGTTTAGTCGTCGGATTGCAGGTAGAGAAATCGAGCTACCAACTGGAGTACTGCAGTACATTGTATACTGTGTACTCTGCAGAGTATAGACATAGCTCTGTCCTTCGAAACATTACCTCAGTTAAGCGCATTTTCTGGCTATTGTAACTAAAACGTCTCTAGATTTAATCTTTACTTTTAATTGCTCATACAAGCTTCACAGCGATCGTGTCGTAACTGAACTTGGGTTACGGTACGTGTTAGAGAACTAGCCAAGTCGTTGTTTGGAAAAGTTAGGATACAGTGCTCCAGTTGATAGCCAGTTAAAAAAACTGAGCGCCAGCCTATCAGCTTAGCAAAGCTCCAGTTTCAAAAAATTATTTATTGGCTTCTAATTTCAGCTTTCGCCGCCAAGTCCAGCAATTGAAAAGCCACCAATCCTTCAACTTTACGAAACATGCAGCGAGAATGGAGTTGATCTCAACTATTAACTAAAACAAAGAAAGTTCAGGGCACAATTTTCCGTACAACGATCTTCATCCAAGTGACCACTCTTGCTTTGTTCATTCGGCTCGTTTACTGGTAAAATGAGAAATTAACATAAAGGCTAGGAATTTAAAGCGTGTGGACATTCCATTACGTTCGTCACCTTTTGGGACTGATTTTCTCGATTCTTGGTGTAATCGTTTTGGGATACTCAAACACTTTGGCTAAACGTGCTTACTACAAAACAAATGAAAGCCGCTGGATTCGGATGCAGTACATGGTTTTGGTGAGTTGATTTAGTCAAGGCTAAAGCTACGGCACCATTTTTTATTATGCAAATTTTTGGAAATCTACACAAAGCCTGTTTCTTAACCCATCAAATTGATCAAACACAATCAATAGACAAAAAAATATCGTACTCAAGCATTTTTAAACGCTGCAGTAATTCAGAAAACTGGCCTGGCCCAGCTTGGCCTAAATTTACTGCAAACTCGCCAAGCCAGCCAGGCTTGAATCTGCCTTGCCAAGCCTGGTTTGCCCTGGCTTATAGCCTGACTTACAAATTTGAGAGCCTGACTGAAATACTCCTAATTTAGATGCTTCTCCTGGGCTTAAACATCCCAATCATCATTCTTATCTGGACAGTCGGTTTTGATGAGTTGATCGAATGGAATCCGGCACCACTTGTAATGCTTGGTGAGTTGTACAAAAAATTTGAAAGTATAACAATTAGAGTGAAATTGTTAAATTCAAGACTGATTTAAAGATTCCTGAATTTTCTAGGTCTTCCGATGTTCGTTCCTCTTCAAGCGTACGCGATTGTTGTCTGGCGAAACATTGAGAAGAAAATGATCGCTGGTGAAGATCATCGAAGCATCGCATTCTACGATCAAGCAAACAAATGGAAAGAACAACTTTATGTGGAAGTTTGGACAATCGAGCCAGGGGTACTGTAATATAATAGCTCTATATTGGAATGATTACGATAGGTTTCTTGATATAAATTGAAGCCGAAACTTGTCAAATACTAACAATTGTTTTGTTTTTTCGAACAGTAAACCTTTTCAGACCAAAACCGAAGCTCCGACTCCAAATCAACACATAAATCAATACCATAAACGTGTTCTGATCAATGGGGTTACTTTACTTTTTCGAAATTTCAATTTTCTCTTACCCAGGTTCTTCTTTTCAAGCTCACCATTTTCGCCGACCTTGCAACTCTTGGAATGTTCATCATCATGGTCGTGAAGTAATCAAGCTATTACAGGAGTTATTATTAGTTCAAAATTTAGTTACCCTGACGGATTCATTCGTTATCATCAAGGCTATATGATAGCGCTTACTTCGGTGATTGGAGTGATCCTTTTCATCACCGTAAATACCCCAGCTCTTTGCGCTTACTACAGGACCAAGAAGAGTCGACACGCGACATTCAAATACAACTCTGTGGTTAGAAACATTTCTGTTACAATGATTTTGATAAATAATGATCGGAATATGGTTTAGATGTCGATCACCGCTCTGACAACCGTCATTATTTTTGCTCTATGTGCCCGCGGCGGGTACTTCTTCCAGCCGCCCGTCAGTCTCGGTAATTTTGTGTATCTAAGAGATAAAAAAAGATCCAATAGTTTTTTATAGTGCAACAACTAACTTTTCGTGTGGTCATAACTAAAAAGATTCGACTCTAGTTAGTCAAAAGATGCTACTACATGATGTCCCAAAAAGTCCTCGAACTTTTCAAGGACAAACTTTTGGTTGTTTGCCTTGTTTTTCTGTCTAGAAAAATAATGTATAACATTTAAGTTTATTAGAGTTGTTAGTAAACTTTAGTAAACTCTTGAAAAAGAGTTTACTAAAGTAAAAATAAATGGATGTCTTAAATCGCATGGTATTTTTGTGAAATAGGCATTAGTTGAATCGATTCTGTAAATGGTCTTGAGTCTTGAGCATTTGATGACGATCAACCCTTCCAAAGTACTGTAATTTCATTTTTAATCAATCTTTTAAAGTTTTTAGCTCTTGTTCGCGTTTCAGGTGTTCTAGTTAACTCTAGCAAAAGTAGAAAATAGAATTTTAAAAAGGTATGAGTTACTGTAAAGTCTCTTGAGGCGATACGGCTAGAGGATCCTCTGAACTCTACTTCTTACTCTAAAGTGTCTAGTTCAAAATGGAGAACGAACAAGAACAAACAAGAACCAGATTTTTGTCTAGCTTTAGGTCTCGTTCTCCTTGTCCCAATCCAGCTTTACTCGGGAGCAATCTGGTGGAGAGTTAAAGAAAAAATGGTTCTCGGAGAAGATTATCGTCTCATTTCGATCTTCGATCCGATTTTTGAGACAGGAAATTTCATTCGTGGCTGTTGCTGGGGCAAAAGTGCAAAGGAAGCTTTGGATTTGCCTAATTTCGCTCCACAAATTTCTCAAATAGAAACTGGAAAATTTTGAAATACTAAGAATTACTTATAGCTATGCTTTTTTTCCTGCAATTTGTTTCGATATGTGTTTATGATGATATTTGTGATGGTGATCTACCCGTTTTCTAAGTCACCTTTGAACTTTGAAATACAAATTAGTTTTTAACGTGTACTGTCGAGATTGTAAACTAGATTTCAGTAGGCTGAAAATTGAAATCGATAGTGAGTAGTTGTTTGTGTTGGAAAATCTTTAGCTGTTTCTTTCTTTTTTGGACTTTTTAGACTCAAAACGGTGCACTACAAAATATCAACGTTCTCATTGATCTCATTAATATTCTTTAGTTTACCTTTTTTTTGTGTACTGTGCTTTGTGTTTGGTGATGAATAAACGTTTGTTCGCATTCAACTTAGACATGGGAAACTCAAAATTCCAAATTTTTAACAAAAATGAATTTACAGCTCTATTTGCAATGAAAAGCGT